TATTCAAACTTGGAGGGAGGAAATCAGGGCTGGACAGATAACAGACCCAGGCGCTACCCTGGGTTCCTTTTCTATCTGGACAGTCCTCTAAACCAAGGTAGGTTACAAAAGGTCAGCCAGGCCTAGGGGGTTGGGGGCGGGCTTCCTCCCAACCCAGGTCCCAGGAGACCTGGGGAGGTCCCACCTGCCGGCCTCCCTAGACGGCTGGCAAAGCTTCAACAGCAGAGGCCCTAGGGCAGGGACGTAAACAGTCAGACACCTTCCTGTCCCGGGGGTGGGGCGGGGTGGGGCGTAATGCCGGGAGCATCCCAGGGCAGGGGGCCTCCCGGCAGGATCGAGGGGGGAGCGGCTAGTGGCCACTCCTGAGAAGTTGGGGGAGGTGCAGGCCCCTAACTCAGGGCCTGTCCGTGCACCCCACTTCACCTTCTCTTGCCTTCGCGTGGCTCCCCGCTCTCCCTCCTTTCCTCTCTGGGCCCTCCGGGGCTCCTCGCTCGTGCCTGGCTAGTTGGGCTCTGTTCTGACCCCATCCACCTGTGCGCACCTCTCCTGCCTCACCCTTTCTCTGCTCTTCTAGTCGCCTGCCAAGGTCTCCCAGGTTTTTTGTTTTTGTTTTTCCTACATCCCTGTAGCCCCTCGCAGCCCCTGCAAACACCACACCTTCTCACCCGCAACCCCACCTGCTCCCCACTTTCCTCAACCTAGACCCCTTGCCTCCCTCCTCTTTGCTCTCCGGGTCCACGGCTTTGGCCACCCCCGTACCTCTCCCGCTGGCTCACCAGAAAACCAGCCCTAACTCGCCAGGTTGCGTCGCCCCGTCTGCCTCCTCTTCCCGGCCCCGCCCCGGCTCCTCCCGGCCCCAGGGGCCCTCCCGCCCCTCCAGACTCCAGCGCGGGCTGGGCCGGCCGCCTGAGGACGCAGAGCTTCGAGGAGGGCAGGGCTTGACCTGAGGACCCCCAGAGCTGGCGGAGGCTGGACCCCGAGGTACCCGGGGCCCCAGGCCCTGGGGTGGGGTTCCTGGAGGAGGTAGGTAGGAGTTTCCCCGGGGAGCTGGGGCAGAGACAGGAGCAGGGAAAGGGGATAGGAATGGCGTTGGAGCCATACTCCAGGAAAGGGAAGATTTGGGGGTGAGGGGGCTCTTCAATCTAGGATAAGGGTATTGTGGGCCAGGCTGCCTAGGGTCTCAGAAGCCCTTACTGGAACTGCTTAAGACCTGGGCTGCTCGCCTGGGCTCGGCCGGGCCCTCTTTGGAGGTCCACCCTGCGCCCTAAAGACCCGTGGCTCCTTGTGACTCTTGCAGGCCCACGGGTGGCCCTTTCCCTGGGCCGGGTCATGCGCTGCCGCAAGTGCCAGCTCTGCCTGTCAGCCCTGCTCACACTCATGGGCCTCAAGGTGTACATCGAGTGGACATCTGAGCCCTGGCTTAACAAGGCTGAACCCCGGGGCCCCCAGCCCAGCCCCACACCGCCCTTCGCTGAGCCCGCCCTGCCCACCAACCTCTCGGCTCGCCTGGGTCAGACTGCGCCACTGTCCCGTGCTTACTGGAACCATCAGCAGCACCGCCTGGGAGTGCTGCCCAGCACGGACTGTCAGACGTGGGGGGCTGTCGCTGCCTCACAGATCTTGGACTTCTTCCTGTACCCCCAGGACCTCCAGCGCTTCTTGCTGTCGGCGGCCTGCAGGAGCTTCCCACCATGGCTGCCGGCAGGGGAGGGCAGCCCCGTGGCCAGCTGCTCGGATAAGGATGTCCCCTACCTGCTACTTGCTGTCAAGTCAGAACCAGGCCATTTCGCAGCTCGGCAGGCTGTGAGGGAGACCTGGGGCAGCGCAGCCGCTGGGACCCGGCTGCTCTTCCTGCTGGGGTCCCCGCTGGGAATGGGGGGGCCTGACCTAAGGTCGCTGGTGACTTGGGAGAGCCAGCGCTACGGTGACCTGCTGCTCTGGGACTTCCTGGATGTCCCCTACAACCGGACTCTCAAAGACCTGCTGCTGCTGACCTGGCTGAGCCGCCACTGCCCTGGGGTCAGTTTTGTCCTGCAAGTTCAGGACAATGCCTTTGTGCACACCCCTGGCCTAGTGGAGCACCTGCAGACTCTGTCCCCTACCTGGGCCCGAAGCCTCTACCTGGGGGAGGTCTTCACCCACGCCGAACCGCTGCGCAAGCCTGGAGGGCCCTTCTATGTGCCCAAGACCTTCTTTGAAGGTCACTACCCTGCCTATGCGGGTGGCGGGGGCTATGTCATCTCCGGACGCCTGGCTCCCTGGCTGCTGCGGGCTGCGGCCCGCGTGGTCCCTTTCCCCTTTGACGACGTCTACACTGGTTTCTGCTTCCAGGCCCTGGGCTTACTGCCCCGCGCCCACCCAGGCTTCCTCACGGCCTGGCCAGCAGACCGCACCAGGGACCCCTGTGCCATGCGGGGCCTGCTGCTGGTGCATCCGGTCAGCCCCCAGGACATCATTTGGCTCTGGAGACACCTCCGGGGCCCAGAGCTCCAGTGCTGAACCTCAAAGCTGAGCTGGGCGGGGAGGTGCTGCCCTGGCCTGAGGCCCCCAAACCCTTCCCCGCCAAGGATGGGCAGACTAGACAAGGTGGCAGACTCTTCTTTGATTTGAAAAAGATGTCCTCCCTGCTCTGAGGCCAGGAGTGGTTTTGTTTGTGGGGCCCCTGCAGACGCTGCTGCCCCTGGCACTGTTTGCCAGGCCTGGCAGGTTCCAGCTGGCTTCTACCAGCCCATGGGAGGGCTCTGGAGGGGCCTGGTGCCAAGGCTGCCCTCCAGTTTGGAACATTTATAGAAATAGGAATCCCCAAGCCTTACTTCCTAAAGAAGCCAGGCTCTCTCCGAAGGCTGGTGTGTAGTGGAACCTGTAATCCCAGAACTAGAGGCTACAGCACAAATTCCCGAGATACTCTCTAGATACACAAACAACAACCCCCCCCACAAACCAAGTCAGCCCTGCTGGTTTCTCCCATCCCCTCCACACATACACCCCAGCCCGCAGGGACCAGAGGAAGCAGCAAGTCAGAGGCAGAGCCACGGTTTACTCACTGTGCTGACCAGCTCAATCTCTGGGTGGGATCCAGAGCCACCCTGCCCAGAGGGTCTTCCCTGGCCTGGCCCCACCCCTAGAAGGCACTGTAACAGGTGAAATAGGGACAGAGCAGCAGCAATGGCTGCAAACCCCGCCCCAGTGAAGTGGGCTGGGGGAGCTGGAGCGGGAGTCACCCCACCACAGTCTGGAGCGCCACCATGGCCCCGAGCATCCCAGCAGTTCTGACTAGGAGAGGGGCAGCATCCTGCCACCCCCTCCTCCACTGAGCACAGGACCGCCTCCGGGTGGCCTCACTTGTCAAAGTGGTCCAGGGGGTAGTGCTCCCCGTAGGTCTGCAGGTGCCGGGCCAGGGCCTCTTGCTGCCTGCGCAGCTGCGCGGGCATCTCCTGGTACACATCAGAGAAGAGCAGGCTTGGGTTCGGCTTCAGCTTCCGCTCAGCCTGTTCAAAGGCCTCCATCACCTGGGCGATGAGGGAGTAAGAAGTGGCTGTCTTTCACCTTCCCCTCCCCCAACCATACCCCCCCCAAGCCCCGTTCCAGCCTCTCCTGTGCAGCCTCAGCCTGGGGTGAGCCCCTCTGGCCTACAGGCACCCGGTAGTGCACTGAGCAGCTCTTTGTTGGAGGAAAGAATGCAGGCATGGGATGAGAGAAGGGAAAGGACTCCTCAGGACTCTGCAGCCAGGCTGAGCCAGTACCACTGTGCAGCCTGAGGCTAGACCAGATGTGTCTCACCCGAGTGAGGGGGGACACTAACCCGAGCCACAGCCCAGGTGTGCCACTTCACGTCCACTGAGTGAAGAAGCAGATGCCCGGGGCGAGATGAGGAAACTGGTAGGTAAGCTGCCCTGGATTCCACTGGCACCTAGTGGGCTCGCTGACCACGCAGTTTGGCTCCAGGGGCCACACGTGGGGACGAGGCTTGCATTCCCCACCGCCCCAGTTCTCCCTGTGGAGCACGCACACCGGGGCTCCACAGGGCCTGTACCTTCTTCCGTGACTGCTTCCGCCAGGCCTTCTCCTGCTCCTCATCCCACCAACCCCGGTTCAGCAGGTACAGCCTCAGCCTGGAGATCGGGTGGTCCTGCTTGTCCCAGTAATTGACCTCATCCACCGAGCGGTACGCTGAGCTGTCGTCACTGGTGCTGTGGTGCCCAATCCTGCTCAGGGGAGGGGCCGAGGGTCAGCGGGAATGGGCCAGGAAAGCACGGAGCAGAGATGGAAAGCAAGGAAGGGGATTCGGTATGGGGTGACAAGGCCGAGCCTTGGGGGCACCAACAGAGGGCTCGTCAGAGCTGTGGGCCGAGGCAGCGGGAGCGAGACAGGCACCTGTAGGTCATGGCCTCAATGAGGAAGGGCTGGTTCTCAGCCACAGCCCGCCGCCGAGCCTCCTTAGTGGCGTTGTACACTGCGAACACATCGTTGCCATCCACACGGATGGACATGATGCCGTACCCAGGGCCACGAGCCGCTGCAGGGACAGAGGGTGCCAGTCAGGCCTCGGGGAGAAGGAAGGACTTGAGCAGAGTGTGTGCCCACTCACTCACTGCCTCCTGTGCCCCCACGTGAGTGCCATGCAGAGTGAACAAGGAGGGCAGTGGGCACTTACCTATGCCATCCCCACGGTACTGCTCGGAGGTTGGCGTGGAGATGGCATAGCCGTTGTTCCGGCAGAAGAAGATGATAGGACACTCCAGGGTGGCAGCGAAGTTGAAACCGGCATGGGCATCCCCCTCACTGGCTGCCCCCTCACCAAAGTAACAGATCACGGCCCGGTTGGCGTTGGCGCGCTTGGCGGCATAGGCCGCCCCCACCGCTGCACGGAGCATAGAGGGCAGAGTGTGAGCAGGGACAGACACCCCCCCCACACGACGCCACGCTTGGGAGTTGTCACAGGGACCCAGCGCCTGCCCACCAAGCCTTCTCCCTCTCGCCTCACTCGAGTGCCAACCTTCCATTTGCACAGGGCAAAAACTCCAGGCGGTCAGGCTTACATCTACACCACCTTTAAAGGACTGTCGGGTCAGGGCCTTCCACACCAGACCAAACCCCCTAGTGCCTCACAGCCGAGTTACTGAGTAGCCCACTGCTCCTTAATCTGTCCTCCGAGCGCAGCCGGGGGCTCCTGCAGTGGGAGTCTGGCACACCCCATCCTAATGCTGGGCTCCCAGGGCACTGTGGGCCAACGTCCCTGCAAGCGAAAAGGCTCCCAGGCCCCACCTGCTCTATAGCCCCCATGGTTAGTCCCTGGGCACACCTAAACACAGGACCGCCTGAAGGTGCCACACGGCTCCTTCCTCTCTGCTTCCAGGCCTCTGCCTCGGCCACTGCCCCGGCAGACAGTCTGTCCTGGCCGTCCTGACACCCGCACAAAGCACTCTAGGGCCGCCTCTCCACCCTCCCCTCGACCTGTCTCCCCAAACCGGCATCAGGATCAACAGGGCTGACACCCGTCTCTCCGGCTCATAAAGGCTGGGCTGACACCTGGCACATGCTGGCCATTCCATACACCTGCTGAATGAGGGACTCCAGGGCACTGTAACAGACGGGGCTTCTCAACCCCTCCCCTGGAAGCCTGCAGACTCATGGGCCACACCTAGAATAGTTCAACAGGCCCCTTACACTGACACACACCTCCCATCAGGCACTGGGTCCAAGGCCCATGAGAGCCCGTTCTTGGTCTCTGTGCTCTGAGGGCACAGGCCCAGCGTCCCTGCAGTGCCAGGAGCCTCAGCCCTACAGTGTGCCCTAGGGAGTCCATGTGGCTCTGAGGAACAAGGCTAGGCAGGCTAGGGTAGAACCGGGGCTCTGTAGTCACAAGAAGGGAGTTCCTGCCTTCCTCCCCACCACAAGACCCTAGTAAGTCACTTCCTTCTTCTACTTCAATTTCCTGTTCCTTGTAACAGGGATGCTAAGACATGCTTGATCTCCCCACAGCAGCCGACAGTGTCACAGACAGTCTGAGCGTGGCAGTGAGGCAGTGCTCGGCCCTGCTGGCTCCGGGAGGAGGAGGGAGCAGCAGGCGTTAGGAAGCCCAGCGTGGCCATGATGGCAAGGCAGCTGGCGGGGGTGGGACGCCATGGCACCCTCCCAGAGGCCCTTGGAAAGCCCTGTAGAGAGGCCAGGCTCTTGGCTGGGCCCCGCGCGTGAGGCTTGGCACACGTGTCCTCACCCTGAGGGATCTGCGTGGCCAGTGGAGAGGAGATGGTGACGAAGTGGCGCTCCTTGCAGCCATAGTGAACGGGCATCTGGCGTCCCTTGCCTGGGTCGCTCACGTTGCCGTAGCACTGGGCCATGAACAGCTCCAGGGGGTAGTCCCGGTACACGAGCACACCTGGGAGGAGGCAGCGGTGAGGCTTGGTGCAGCGCCGGGGAGAGGGTGTCCCACCAAGTCTGTGGGCAGCCTGGAACCAGCCTGCCTTCCGCCCACCTAGACCAGGGCACTGTGGCAGGGCCGGCCTACGGGCACAGCTCTCTGAACGCTAAGAAAGGGGGACTGCAAGACGGAGGTAGGCCAGGGCTACGGAGCCAGATGATGTCTCAAATTAAACAACGATAACTAGGAGCCAGACTGCAGCAGACAGCAAGTCCGGCTCACAGGCACAAACAGGTGCCACAGATAGGGCCTGTCTCAGGAGAGACGTATGGGAGGCCCAGAGAGCCCCTCTTGCTAACTCTCAGTAAGGGATGAACGCTTCAGGACGCCAGCATCCTGTGACTGAACTCTGCTTGTGACAGGATCTTCGTGAAAAAACTGGTTTGAGCCTTCAGGGCACATCGGCAGTGGGGGAGGACCCACCAGATCGCCGCCACTCTGTGTGTGGCTTTTAAGCATCACTTGGTAAATGTTAAATGACTACAGTGCATTTAGGTCACCCGTGCCACCAACCCCTCACTCTGACCCCTCCTCCAACTCTTCCTGGGACCCTGCCATCTTCCCTCTGACTTATAGAAGTCAGTGGCCAGGCATGCTGGCTCAGGCCTTTAATCCCAGCACTTGGGAGTCAGAGGCAGGCACATCTCAGAGAGTTCAAGGCCAGCCTGGTACACAGTGAGACGCTGCCTCAATACATAAATACCATAAAACAAAAACAGCCACTGAAGCCAAGCGCTGCCGCTGTGCCACGCACACACAGGTACAACCACTGCCACACTGACCACAACACCACGGGAAAGTGATCTCCTTCCTTCGGGGGCTGTCAACACCCCCTTTCCTGCCTCTTTACACAAGGCTGGATATCACTTGGGAAGCACAGGCAGAGCTCTGTGAGTTCAAGGTCCGCCTAGTCTACAAAGCTAGTTCCAGACCAGCCATGGCTCCACAGGGAGACCTTGTCTTAAAACCAGAAAGGTCAATGGGGTCACATGACAAGCAGCTTGCCTGTTTCTTGACACGGGTCCTCTCTTGTAGCCCTGGTTGGCCTGGAACTCACTGCATAGGCCAGGCCGACTTCAGAGAGACCTGCTTGCCTCCATGTCTAAGCACTGAGATTAAGGGCCTACACCACCATGCCCTGATGCTGGCCTTGAATTCATAGCAATCCACCTGCCTCTGCATCCTTGAGCTGGGATTACGTGGGTGCACCGCTTGGCCTGCTTTTTTGAGAGCCTGGCCCAGTTTGGCCTTGAACTGGAAATCCTCCTGCCTCTGCTTCTGGATGTTCCACCATGCCCTGGCCTTCACAGCCACCTGTCGGATGTCTCTGGAGGGCACAATACATGCAGAAAGGCCTGGCCACACTGCAGAGACAGCAATGGAGGAGGAAGTGTGCCTTGAGACTGCCAAGAACTCACAAGACACAGGCCCAGGGCCTTATACATGTGTGTCACCAAGCAGGGGCAGGAAGACGGTGTTCACACACACCGTCCCAGGTGGGGGTGGGGCTCTGTGGTATTGGGTCTGCTGGTATGTGTCTCCACCAACTGTAAACCAGAGTCCCAGGCAGATCTGACCTGCACCAGGAAGTGGCAGGTCCCGTGGGAACTCCTGCTTTGCCTCAGCACCTGCTGCTGCTTCACAGCCCTGACAAACACCACTGTCACACCAGCTGGGAATGTCCCATATGGTCCAGAAGGCCATCCAGACTGACAAGCAGATAGGGCTGTGGCTGAGTCAGACATCACTAGGCTCTACCTCTAGGAGGTGGAAGGCCAGGCCCCAGGACCTCACTCTGTCCTACTACTCACCTACCATTCACAATTGACAAGGACAACTGCCTCACTGGCTAGGAAAGGGACACCCACACATCACTCCACCCAGGCCAACCCCGGCTCCACAATGGCTGCTGCAGAGACCCTTCATCTCTCCATGGCACAGCTGGTTGCTTTTTGGGTCTGCTGACTTTAAGGGTAGATTCTTGCTGTGTAGCCCAGGCTGGCCTCAAACCTGCAATCTTCCTGCCTGGGCTCCCTGAGAACTGGGCTTACAAGCACATGCTACCAGGCCAGGCTTCTCCACCTCCCACCCAGAGTGAGTAGGGGATGGGTGGCCTCCCTCCTCTCCCTGAACCACTGCTTACACACACACTTACACACACACACACACACACACACACACACACACATACAGCTTAGGGGTCCCCAGAGCCTTAGAAACCTGGCTCTCCTTGCTGATGACGCCAAGCTTCACCCTTCCCAGGCTGTTTGCCTCCACCCAGTACAGAAGGGGTTAGGGCTGACCCAGAGGTAGCCTCGATGCCCCGTTCATCAGGAGGCCTCACGACAGTCACCTGGCCTTCCCCACTGCTGGACAGCCTCCCCTGGGAAGGCCTCTAACAGCAAGGGTCCACCTGCACACACGTAGCCTCTACCTACCAGGCTGTGCTCACAGCTTTGTGCCAACTGCCCAGGACTCTTCGCAGCCGGTGGGGCTACCACCTCCTTAGAAAAAGGCCAGCAAAGCCCAGATCCCAGGCACACACAATCCCCAGGAGGCCTCGTAGATAGCTAGCCCTCTCCTAGGTAGGCATGATCATGCAGGCCACACCCCAACTCCGCCCTTTCTTGCCTTATTGTGTGCCCCTTCCTTTCACACTGTAGCCATGTCTTTTGCCAAAACTCTGATCCACACTGCACTCAGGACCTTTCCCACTGCCCCTGCTTCCTAGGGAACACAGCACCTGGGGAGAGTCCAGAAGTGCCCTGCGTGGGTAGACAGGTATCACAGAATGTGCCATGTCCTCAGCCAGGCCTGACCCCATGTCCCTTTAGCAGCCATTCGATTCAGGTGCCCCTCATTGCTGCCTTGGAGATGAGAAAGTGGAGGCCTAGAGAAGACTGTGAGTCATCTCTGTAGGAGCTGACCCCACACCTCCTGGCCGGCTCTGTGAGGCCTCCCCACCCTGCTGGCAGTGCTGCCTCTGGGCTCCTGAGGCCTTCACAGCACCACGCTGCTCCTGTAAGAGACCTTGGGGAAATGAACTGCGGGGCTCAGTGGAGAACCCAGAGCAAACTACCAGCAGACATACCTGCCTCCCGGTATTGGCCAAACACTAGGTCCGTCCGGTCCAGGGCAGCAGCGCTCCCCACATGCGTCCCCTCCTCGCCGTAGTTGGTCATGTAGAAGGAAATCCGACCCTGGGGGCGAGGGGCCAGGGGCCCAGGCTTGGTTAAGGCAGTCCTCGAAAGACAGACCTGCCTGCCTTTTGTCTGTTGCTTTTAAAGACAGGGTCTCTCTGTTAGCCCTGGCTATCCTGAGCTCACACAGATCTGCCTGCCTCTGCTTCCTGGGTGCTGGAACAAATGGGGCGCACCACCACACCCGGTGTCCTGCCCTTTAATAAGCCATCGCTGGGCGAGGCGGGGCTGCTGGAGCCCCTGCCTCCAGAAGGAACTGGTGGACATGAGAGCTCAGTGACAAGAGCCCAAAGGAGGGCACACACATAGCCAGGCGTGCAAAGAGCCTGCTGCACTGGGCCAAGGTGGGGGTAGGGAGGATGGCCTAGACAAAAGGACAAGGAATGACAGGAGGCCAAAGGGCTGGAAGTCAGGTGAGATGAGGGCCGAGGACGTGGGCCTGGGCCGCCTTTGAGCACTCTGTGGGGTCCGCAGCCTCCCCTGGGTCTTGCAGTCTCTCGGTGGCTCTGCAGGGAAGGGATGGAGAACAGGAAAGACAACAGCAAGCCAGGAGAGAGGGAGTGTGAGCTGGCCCAGGAGCTGGGCAGTGGGAGGGACAGATGGCCGCAGAGCGACCACCCACACCAGCTATGTTTGGCTTTCTAACCCCACGCCTGAAAGAGACACTGGGGTTCCCAGCCAGAGGTGGCTGATGGGACAACTTTAGCCCGGGGATTTAACCAAATCTGCTTTTGCGGATAAGGGACTACTGCTGGCACCACCTCTGCCCCATCTTCTCTCTGCTCGCTCAGAGCCAGGATGCCTGAACCTGTGGCAGCCCTTCTGTGAGCAGGAGGCAACAGGCACAGAACAGGTGCCAATTTGCCAGAAAGGATGAAGCAGGGGGTGGGGCAGGTGCCCAACAACGCTGTGGAGCCACTAACCAACTCCTAAGGGAACATCAAGAAACAGAGAGAAGGTAGGCAGGGAGATGGCAGCGAGCAGATAAGACCTGGTGCCAAGGTAGCTAAGAAGGGCGGCCGCCAGTGCCCAACACTGAGAAATGGGTTAGAGAGGTCAAGTTTGGACAGGCCGTCTGCTGTGGGGTATGAGCAGACAGGATGCCAAACAGATCCATGGTGCCAAGATGGAAATCTGGCTGGAGAGCTGGGGAGGCCCTGGTGAATGATGAAATGGAGATCACCCCAGATTGTGCGGAAGAGCTCTCTCTGCACTGCCCCTCAGTACCGCACAGCTCTCCAGAGCTCAGCAACACTGCTGAAGCTGGCTTTCCAACTGCCTGGGAAAGTGAGGAAGAAGGGCTTTTCTTTAAGTGGGGGAGCCAGTTAAGTGTTAATTGACTTTCTGCTGCCAAGTAGGTGGGCAGGGCACTGCGTATGGAGGGCAGCCAAGCTCAGTCAGTATGTGGAGGAACCTGAGATGTACCCCCACCGTGGGCTAGTGGCAGAGCCTGTCCACCCAGAGTCCCTCCCCACCGCCTCCTTAGCAGAGCACCCATTCCCATGCAGGCAGGAACTGCCCAGATGAAAGGGCCAGTCTCCCTGGCAAGGAGGGGGGCTGGTGAACTGTGGGCAGATGGTATCAGGGAAGTGTAAGTGCGGAGAGAGGTGAGAGGCTCGATGTTCAGCCTCCCACCTTCCTTCCACTTGCTGCCTTGCTGCCTGGAGTGAGACTCCAGCGGCCATCTGGATTCTGGGAGTCATAAGGAGACCATGAGAAAGAGGCCAGCTGCCACTGCCTGAGTTCAGGCTCCCTATTCCTAGCCTTTTTGATCCAAGAGGAGAACCAGTCATCTGCTGACTACGGCTTTTCCTTCTGTTTTTTAAGCTTTCCTCTGGAGCGGGCAGTCTGTCATTGTGCCAATGGATACTGTCCTGCATATGTTAGGTAAACTCCTTCCATTCTGGCTGGCTTAAGTCCCATCCCGACACAACACGGTGGTTAGAACTCGGCTTCCACCCAGTGTTACTGGTGGGAGTGGAGAGACAGCCCTGAGACAGGGTGTCTCACTTTGTAGTTTAGCCTGGAATTCATGGCTATCCTACTGCCTCAGCTTTCCAAGCACTGGAATTATAGGCAGGTATCACCATGCCTGGCTTTTTTTTAATGTCCATTGATGTTTTGCCTGAATGCATGTCTGTGTGAGGGTATCAGGTCTTGGGGTTACAGACAGTTAGTTGTGAGCTACCATATAGGAACTGAACCCAGGGCCTCTGGAAGAGCAGTCAGTGCTCTTAATCACTGAGCTACTTTCCAGCCCCCCACCCCTATGCCTGGCTTTTAAGTATTTTAGTGACAGAAGCCAGGGCAAGGCAAGCACTCTACCACGAGCTGTGTACCCAGCTGTCACCCAGTGTGGAAACAAAGACAGAGACAAGAAAAATGTCTTGCCCAACATCATGACTGTGACTAGGCACTTCGGGAACTTTTCTCGGCTGTGCACACGGCAGGTATTTTTAGTGTCCTTGGATGAAACCCTTCCTCCAGCGTTCTGGTGAGCCAGGAGAACCTCTGACGCTCTCAGGACGCCACCGAAAGGATACCCCATTCCACCCCTCCCCTGCGTACGAGCACCGTGGACGCAGTGGGCACATGCAGCAACCCCGCCCCACCCCAGCCTGGCCCTCGCACCTGCCGCTGGGACTCGTAGAGGATGCGGTCCATGGTGTTAAGCAGCGTCATGCTCCTGTAAAACTTCAGCACCTCTTCCTGGGGCAGCTGCGGGCGGAGACGGGGACAGTGGGGACCGGAGTGGTCGGGCAAGGGACCTGGGCATAGGGGTCTGGGCGGAGGGGGGCGGCCTCACGTGGGGGTCTTCACTAGGGTTGATGATCTGGCCCTGGCGGTCCATGACACGGTAGATGGGGATGCCGGAGATGACATTGGGCTGGATGAACTCCAGCTTGTCCACAAACTCTGCAGAGACCCCTGGGAACTGGGGCTTGTCATCCAGGGATGGGAGCTGCTGCTGCTGCCTGCTGGGGTGCTGGGGAGGGGAGGCAAAGAGCACTCCATCAGCACTGCTGAAGCTTTACCTGGCTCAGCCCTGGTGGCTGACGCTGTGCTAAGGAGCCCATGGAGCCCAGGTTGGCCTCAAACTTGCTTATCTGAAGCTAGCCTCCAAGTCCTAATCCTCTCCACACTCAGGTTTGTTTAGTTTTCACACAGTTTTTCTGTATAGCCTTGGCTGTCCTGGAACTCGCTGTGTAGACCAGGGTTACCTCAAACTCAGATATCTGCCTGCCCCTACCTCCTGAGTACTGGGTTTAAAGGCCCTGCCCGGCAATGGGGACCAATCTCTTAATGGGTGACATGGCAAAGTGTTTTTTTTTTTTTTTTTCCCCGTCACATATCCCCCGGCCTAAAACCAAAAAATGCTTCTCGGAAATGTGAAGGTTGGCTGGGCACAACAGGGCAAACCTCTAATTCTAGCCCCTGGGAGACGGAGGTACACATCAGTTCAAGGTCATCCTCAGCTACACACAGAGCACCCATCTCAAAAATAAATAAGAAAAGAAAGAAAGAAAGAAAGAAAGAAAGAAAGAAAGAAAGAAAGAAAGAAAGAAAAAGAAAATCCATCTGAGGTGAGCTTTAAAGAAAGGCATGCTTATGGTGGCCCACACTTGTAATCCCAGCACTCAGGAGACAGAGCAAGGCAGATCTCTGTGAGTTCGAGGACAACCTGGTCTACAGAGTAACTCCAGAACAGCCAGGGATACACAGAACAACCCTACCTCAAAAACTAAAAAGTACTAAAGTAAAATAAATATAAAAGAAAAAAAGGTATGCCTACATAATTCCGCACAGGGCATCTGGGAGTTTTGGGGGCAAGCTCCTGCTACATAGCCAAGGCTGGCCACATGATCTTCCTGCCCAGCCTCCAGAGAAGCTAGGATTCTAGGTGCTACCTGTGGTGTACCCTGCCACGCCTGCCTTCCCTTGTCTCACCTGGGGAAGGCTGTCACATGCATCAATGTCCTCTCCCTGCCAGGACAGCTCCCATGCTGCAGCCAGTGACCCCTCCAACACACGTCCGAGCGCCCACTTCCATCCCTGCCCTGTGCAGGGCTCTAGGAATGGCAGGTATCTGTCCCTGCAGCCTAGATGGAGAAGACACGCCAAGCAGACAGGAAGGAGGGTGAGGACAGGAGCCGGGCTTCTCAGAGGAGTGACACAGGAGTCCCACGGAGGAATGAGCAGCCAGGGAGAGCGTACAGCAAGGGGTCAGAATACGCAAAATGCAGAAAGTGAGGCTGGCACCTGTCTTCTGTGGAAACCTGCAGTGTGCGCAGAGGAGCCAGGAGCCTGGAGGGACCGCACACTCTGAGAGTGTAAAACTGCGCATGTTCCTCTCCAGAACTTTCTCTGTGCCCGTCCTCTATTTTACACACAAACAGCACAGCCAGGCACACGTGTGGGAATCACAACATGTGGGAAGCTGAGGCAGAAATGTGGCGTTCCAGGACAGCCCTGGGACACAGAAAATCCCACCAAGACACAGAAGAAAAAGTGAGGTATGGTGGCATACCCTCGTAATCCCTGTGTCCGGGCGCTGAGGGAAGAAGATGCCACAAGTTCAAAACCAGTTTAAGCTAGTTTGAGATCATTTAAAGATAACAATAATAATAAAGTTGGGCTTGGCAGTGCAACCTTTAATCCCAGCATTTGTGAGGTAGAGACCGGAGAACTGAGAGTTCAAAACTACCTTTGGCTACACAGCAAGCTCAAGGCCATCCTAGGCAACATGAGACCCTGTCTTAAAACAAACAACAACAGGGCTAGCTGTGGCTCAATTCCAGAGAGACCGCTGGCCTGGCCACACGGGCTCGGCTCGGAGCGCGAGTGCACGCCTGAGAGGCGGAGGCCAGGCACCTGATGGACAGAGGACAGCCTGGATCACAGAACATGTACTTCAAAAACGAAAAACAAAACACAAAACATACATCAACAGCCAGGCAGTGCTGGCGCATGCCCCGAATCCCCGCACTCAGGAGGCGGAGGCAGGCATACTTCTGTGCGTTCCAGGCCAGCCTGGTCTACACAGTGAGTCCAGAACAGCCAGGGCTACATAGAGGAACCCTGTCTCAAAAAACCAAATTAATCAAGCAATCAGTCAATCGATTGTTGAGCTGCACGCTTCAGTTATCTAGGAAAAAACAAATCTTCCAGCCTTCCCCAAGCCTGCCCTAGTGCCAAGTTCCAGGAAAAGGCCACTTGCCAGAAAAAGCTGACCACGAAAGCCAGAGTGGGGCTTCTTTAATCAACACAGAAGCCCTGAGTGAGGCCCCAGGCTTCCTGGAGGGGCCCTCTCCCCTCCAAGAAGGAGGTAAGGCTTGAGCAGCCCACGTCCCAGAGGAGACAACCATGGTGCAACGAGGCTGCTCTGAGCAACACTGGTGACACTGCCCACCTGTCCCGGGCCCGCGGCTCTACGTCTTCCCAGTCTATCTTCCTTCAGGGAGAACCCATCGAGGCAACGCAGCCTCAGCGCAAGGGGAAGACGGCTGGCAGGAGAGAGAGACTGGCATCGCTGGCTTGCTGCTAACTAAAGCTGTCTGGTTCCTTCTGCACCCCACTCCTGACGTCACCAGACAACAGGTAGAGAACCTTGTGAGGCTACCATCAGAGAAGGCATGGCTGGCAAGGCCATCGAGACGCTAAAGGAGGTGACCGGCTAGCTGGGTGCCAGCCTGAGCTCCGCTTCCTTGGGGCATCAGGTATGCCAGGAAGAAGATGAATTAGCAGGCTTAGGGAGGGAAAGCAGCTTGCGCCAGGCCACAAATCTAAACACGCGTCACAAGTGGACGTCCAACCTGGCAGGGCTATGATTCAGACCCCAGGACCCCACACCCCAACGGCCACAGCTTGGCCAGTTCCCACAAATCTGCATCCTTTCTCCCCACAGCAGCCAGGCTTCCTCTTGGTCAGCAGCTGTGGCTTCACATCTAGGGAGGCCGCAAAAACGTGAGTGCTCCACACGCCACTTCTCACCTGTGTCCCCTCCCTTCTGTTAATTGCAGTGGACAAGGCTCGGAGGTTCCAGCGGGCAGCGAGTTCCTGCGCATGATTATCGGCATTTGTGGCTGTGAAGAAATTATCACTCCCCACAGCAGGGCAGGTTCAGGCTGGCACCCCTTGGGCACACTCATCCTGCTTGGGCAAGAAGGAAGCAAGCAACCTCTCCTCGACCTGAGCTCCAGGCACAGCAGGACCTGATACCTACCTGGAAGGTTCCTTTGTGTCTGTCTCCCACACACAGCACAAGGCAGGGGAGCTGCCTGAGGGGCTGCCACAGCCAGAGCTCCATAGGTAATCATCCTGCACTGCAGAGCGAGCGGCTCTGCAGTGAAACAGACCTGGGCTCCACGTGCTGAGCTCATGGCACGGCTCTCCATGTCTAAAGCGCTGCGGAGGGCTGTGTGCAAAGTTCTCAGGGCGATTTACCATTATTGTGCAGTCCTAGGCATAGTAAGTGCTGGGAAAGCGGACAGAGAGCAGCACAGAGCAGTGCTGCTAATGCCAGAGGGGAGGAGGAGAGAAGACTGCAACCTTAAGACCAGCTTGGCTTAGACAGTGATATCTTGTCTCAGAAACAAAGATCGGCCCGATGGGGCATGCCTACAAGCTGAGTATTCTCAAGGCTGAGGCAGGAGGATTATGAGTTCAAAGCCAGCTTGACCACATAACAAGACACCATCTCAAAGAAAAAAAAAAACATTTTTAATTCAGAAACAAATCCAAAGCTTCAGATGTCATCTGTCTGGTAATGACGTAGTGTGCACAGCTCCCTAGCTCCGAGCCCTGGCACCACCCCCACCCCCATCTATCGTACAGCACAGCCTGTGTGCTCAGTGCTCTAGGGCACACACAGTGGGAGGCGCACAAGCGCAAGGTCATCCTCCACTATATGTGTTAACTTCATGCTATCCTGGGATACACGAGACCATCCCACAAACCAACAAACAAGGCAGGTGACACATGCCCAGAGCCCACTGCGCCCACACAGACGGCTATTTGATGTTTGGGAAGTGGCACGAGGTGTGGCCTTGCTGGAGGACGCGTGTCCCTGGGGCTTTGAGGGTTCAGATGCTCAAGCCAGGCAGCGTCTTCCCGCCAACTAGATGCAGAGTCTCGGCTTCCCATGCAGCACCACATCTGCCTGAGCACTGCCATGCTTCCCACCGTGATGGCAACAGACTAAACCTCTGAACCTGTAAGCCAGCCCCAACTAAATGCTTTCCTTTGCACAAGGGTCATGGTGTCTCTCCACAGCAATGGAAACTCTAACTGAGGTACCCACTCAGGAGGCTGAAGCAAAAGTATGAGTTCAAGGCCAGTGTAACCCATATACTGAGACCTTCTCTCAAAACCAGACCTACCCCAACAAAAGACAAGGAGGCTGCAAAGGCAAGAAAGCAGGAAAATCAGAAACGAAAGGCACCCTGGGAAGACAGGGAGAGTGGGAAAAACCACTGGCCCTTGAAATTGAAATTTGATACCAGACTTTGGCCCTAGCAAACTTCAGAGAGAGATGGCGGAGGAGACATGGTTACATAAGAGGCCTGAAGTCTCTCGGGAGGAGAGCTAAAGGGTTAGCTAGGGAGTGATGAGGGTCAGCAGGCAGAGCTTGCAGGCTGAGAATGAGCTAGGATGTCCAAACAGGGTCCCACACACCCATGCAGACCCCCAGGCATGCTTCATAAACTGGGCCTGGTAATGTTCTCCAGGGGGCTCTTTCCAAACCTATGGCTGGGAAGGCTGTTCTTGACCCCGTGAAGTCCCTGTACTAATTCAGTGAGTTCCAAACGTGGCCGGTAATGAGGGTGCTGGATTATGGGATGGGGGATGGCTGGCAAAATGCCTACAGAGAGAAGCAGTATAATAGCAGCCAAAGAGCGCATTTTTCCTCTGCCTTTTCTTAAAGGTAGGGTTTGCCTGGTGGCCAGTGACAGAATGCCAAAGCTGCCCAGACTGGAACAAAGTCCCGAAGCCACAGGAGACCCAACAGAAGCTGGGTACCCGAATCATGGCCATTCCTCCCCTCTGGCACCGTGGTTAACAGCACAGGCACGGGCAGAGTGTTGCGTGACAAGCGCCCTGAGTCTTGGGTTCTTCTTCCAGTGTGCATTCTCAGGAGCTACCATGAAGATGGCATGAGCTGACATGTACACATGGCTCAGCCAAGCGCCTGGCCCGTAAACACCGTACGGCAAACATGAGGCACTGGCAGGTGCTGGAGAACTGTTCTGGTCAATCAGGCACACAGAAAGCATTTGCGCTAAGGGAGGCTTGGGGGAGAGAAAGCACTTGTGCTAAGGGAGGCCCGGGTGAGAGCTTGAGCAGGAGCAGGAGCAGGAGCAGCACGTGCCGAGAAGTCACGCAGTACAACTAACCTGCCTGGAAATCAGCAGACTCCAGAGCTCAGCGTGGCGGTGTAGGCCTGTCAGGCCAGCATCAGGAGGCTGAGGCAGGAGGCACGCAAGGCCGGCCTAGGCTACAGGACAAGACCCTCTCCAAACAAAAACAAAACAAACAAAAAAGGCAGGTCTGCACTCTGAGCCACTGGAGATGAAGACGGCTGAAGCAGGTCAGTAAGAGCCGACTGTGGGGATGCAGCGATGGCCTGGATGTGAAGAGCACTTGCTGCTTTTCCCGGAGGACAGGACCCGCAACTGCCCGTAACTCCCACATTCTCTTCTAGTCGTCACGGACACCCACAAAAATGTATACACACACATAAACACACACCCACACACAAATAAAATAAACCTTAAGAGAGAAAAAAAAAAAAAGGCAGCTATGAGTGCAGATGCCACACAAACGTTTATCTCGGTGCTCACTGATCTTTCCAGCCTCCTTGTGAGGCCCTGCACCAAACACAGATGGCGGGAAGGGTGGAAGAGCTGGGGGGGGGGGGGCCCTGAGCAACTTGTCCAAAGCCAAGCAGTTCAGAGTGGTGAGCCTGGCGTGTGCAGGGGCTGCATGAACCAGCCCTGAGGCCCTGGGCCTGCTACCACAGCAGAGAATGACATCTCTCAGGAGGGTGGCTGCCTAGCTTGGAAAGCAACCTGGAGCTGGGCCTCTGGGACATGCTGGCTTTCTCCTCTAGGCTCTCTGGGTCCTGCAGGTATAAGCCCAAGAGGCGTCTCACTCTTTCCCTGAGTCACTCAACATCAAGCCAGTTACTGCCCCTGGAAGGAAGCAGTGGCTGCATTTCCAAAGTCCTGGCCTACCAGTCCTCAGAATACAGAGGAAGCACCCTTAGGAAGAAACCGCACTCTTGGGGCTAGGCAGCAGTGAAGAGCTCTTGCTGTTCTTCCAGAAATCACAGACAGCTTCTAAATAACCTGTAACTCTAGC